TATATACACACACATTATGGTATGCTGACGATGACGACGACGATGTGTATACGGTAAATTATAATCGAGTCACTGTCACCGTCGGCGGCTTAAATCCAATCATATGGTTAATAAGCAATAACAATTAGCCTGCGACCAGCGGTTGTAATCAAATCAGCGAGGGGCCAAAAGGATCAATCCGTCGGCGCGCGTACACAGCAATCGTCCACCGCCGCGTATCGAGCCATTTGACCCGATCGCCCTGCGAACCAGCGTAGGGGTTTTTCTATCGTCGTCGTTCTTTGTACCCCCTTGGTCTTGCGCAACGACGCAGTGGTGCCCCGGTGGCGCGGGGGACGAGAGTGGTGGCGGTGAGAACTCCAAGGGGGAAATATAGAGGGTCGTTTCGCGGGGAATATTGGGTGGAGAACAGCATTCCCCCCCATTCTGCAGCCCTGTTTCGGTGCCGTGACCGAGCCGCAGCCGACTAGGAGGCGGGCACCGTTGCCGAAACGTCGGTGGGCGGAACGCAGCGGCGGCGTCAGCGGCGGTGGTTGACCGACGTCGACGGGGCGCGACAATGTATATAGCAGCGCTTTGCATCGCGCGCAGCAGTGGCGTACGTTGCGAATACTCGACGACGTCGACTGCGACGACCAACATAACGATCGCTGCCGCTGCCGCAACCGTCGTTTTCGTGTAGTAGTCGTTCCGATTGGTACCTTCCCGCTATCGCCGCTGCCGTGATCCCGGCATCGACACCACCAACACCGTCCGTGCGCACCAGCACTGCAATAAAATTATATTGCTGCCGCGTGAGTATGCACTTTCGTTTGCGATAATCTATCACTAATATATATTTATTAATAATATAAAAAAATTACGTACACACGCGCACATATTCACATATTCACACACACACACACACACACAAACGCTCAAGTTGAAATACGTAGCTCGAGTTTTTATTTATTTTTATTTTTTATAATCGCTGCATATTTTGATATCAATACCACATGGAAACTCGTCGTTACGTAACTTTGACATAGACGTGTTTCGATTCATCCGCGTGTTCGTATCCGTCGCACACGTTCAATTGTAATACGTATTTACTACGGCGAAAAACATTCAATACGTGTACGTAATATATTCGCGTTTTACGCGATTTCATGCGGCCGTTCGTTAACATATATATATATACATTGATTGGCGGAGCAGGGAGTAGTGCGGGGAGATGCAGAAAGGGAATACAAGATAGACAGAGAGAGAGAGAGAGTGAGGGAAGAGTGAGTGGAGTGACCGGCCAGAGAGGTTCGTGATTATTGAAAATTGAAAGTTCTCCCAGTGCCCTAGTGCTGCAAACACGGTTGCCGTACGCGCGCATACAGAACCGTCGTGCTCTGCAATAGTACAGTGATGTTCTCGGTAATTTATACGTAATTTTCCCCGCTGACGTAATTTTCTGGACCTTTCCCGCCAACCCACACGTCGCCGTCGTTCCGTTATATCGCGAACGACACTGCTGTACCGCACTGCGTTGCCGCCGTTGTACTGCATGTAAGCCAGCCGGTGTCGTCGTCTCCGCCACCCACGCGTAACGGCTCGCACGATCGGACGATGTCATCGTAGTAAGACAAGGTTTGCACATATTATCATATAACCGACGGCCGTGTTTCCAGGTCGAGTACAACGCGGTCCTTACGTAACAATACTTTTCACGGGTACATTTAGTGTTTTTCTCTCTTTCTCTCTCTTTCTATTCGTTATCTATTCTCATATTATTACGTTTAACACACGTCTACATACTCATCACTCACAGACACACTCAGTAATTAGTTGATGTAGTATTAACTATCTATTTTTCTATAACGCCTATGTTCTTTGTACGTTTTTAACACGTAAACCATTTTTTTAATCGTGTAAAATATAATACATAATATTAATACGATAACGTTTTATTATTTATTATATTAAAAATAACTACGTCTGCTCTTTGTTCGAATACATATTATTTTGTTTTCAAAAAGCGCTTTGGCCGAGCAAAGGGTTTAGTTTTTTTTTCTTAACCTTTTTTTCTTACTATTGTAATGATTTGATTCAACTTAACATTTATATTATTATTATTATTATTTTTCTACGTTATTTTTAATGTTTTATTGTGATTTTCTCTTCAACATACAACATGATTTATTATTATGTCCTCCATAAATAGAATAATAATAGGAATTATTAATGCATATCTATACTCGCGAAAGTAGGTGGTTCTGTTATCGAATCTTCGATCGAGTCGAGCGTAGGATATTATATCCATAATTGTACGCATAAATATTTTATTATACACCGCCTACTCGGCTACGCGCGTACGTATGAAATACGTTTGGTTTTCAAAATATGATTTATTTACCTTAAAGTATTTCGGTACAACTGAAAAATGTATGCGGTGTGCACAATCAGCCTTGTATTATGCCCAAACATAATTTACAATAAAATCGGACCGGGTTAATGTGCGAAATCATTGCCGTCCTCGTTAATAGTAAATACATACATTATCATGTTCCGTGTACCACTATTTCACATGTACGCGTGAACATTTACACGCAAGTATTTAGATAACACTATTTTAAATAAAACAATGTTTTATATTTTACATTGATTAACATTCTGACTGTCGGAGCTTTTCGTTTTCCGTTCGCACCGTTCGTAAATCGCAGATGAACGATAATGTATACATAATTATTATTATTATTATTTTATCATTTATGGATAATTCGATGTAAAAACCGTTTCCTTCCGCATGTCGAGAAGCCCGTAGCAACATCGGAACGTCGATCCTAATCGAATAACCGAACGGAATTACGGGGGGAAAAAAAAATTACCATGTATAATCTAACGGCGGACGTGAAAAAAAAAATTCAAAGCATAATGCAATCAAGAGCCAATGGTTGTTTGACTGCGCATTGACGTCATGGGCAGACGTAATCACGTCATCGTTCCGAAAGATGGATGTAATGTTATCAAACGCCGCACCGTCACCTTGGCATCCCTAAAGCGTTATTGCGGTGAATTATTGTGTAACTATCGTGTTTGCATAGTGTTTACAGTCAAAAGTGTGTGGTTCTGAAACGCATGGTTCAAAAGTGTGCAGTTTTGAAACGCATAGCTTAAAAGTGTGCGGTTCTGACACCCACGGTATAAAAGTGTGCGGTTCTGACACTCACTGTTTAAAAGTGTACGCTTTTGAAATGCATTGTTTAAAAGTGTGCGGTTCTGACACCCACGGTATAAAAGTGTGCGGTTTTGACACTCACTGTTTAAAAGTGTGCGCTTTTGAAACGCACGGTTCAAAAGTGTACGGTTTTGAAACGCAAGGTTTAAAAGCGTGCGCTTTTGAAATGCATTGTTTAAAAACGTGCGTTACTGAAACGCACTGTTTAAAAGTATGCACATCTGAAACGCACGATTCAAAAGTGTGCGGTTTTGAAACGCATAGCTTAAAAGTGTGCGGTTCTGACACCCACGGTATAAAAGTGTGCGGTTCTGACACTCACTGTTTAAAAGTGTGCGCTTTTGAAATGCATTGTTTAAAAGTGTGTGCTTTTGAAACACATAGCTCAAAAGTGTGCGGTTCTGACATCCACGGTATAAAAGTGTGCGGTTCTGACACTCACGGTTTAAAAGTGTGCGCTTTTGAAATGCACTGTTTGCATTAAAAGTGTGCGGTTTTGAAATACATTGTTTAAAAGTGTGCGGTTCTGACACGCACGGTTCAAAAGTGTGCATTTTTGAAATGCATGGTTTAAAAGTGTGCGTTTCTGACACGCACGGTATAAAAGTGTGCGGTTTTATAGCGGGCGGCGGTTGTGGCGATAGTGTAAATACATAGTATCGTAACGCCAACCGTGGTGACCCATTTTTTTTTCTCTGTCGTATTTGCACCGCGCACATCAACTCCTCCACCGTGACTTAACCGTAATCAGACAACATAAACGTAAATGCATTTGTACGAGTTGTATCGGAATAATAATGTCAACGCGTAAAACAGTAGAGCGGTACATATTTCGCTTAACTTGTCCAACAAACACGCGCACGCACGCACTCGTGAACGTTTCGTTTGGTTTTTTTCTTTTTCGTTTCCCCCGTACGAGAGTGTCGGTTAGGTTAGAGCAGTCGGTTCTAGAACAACAGAGGTTGGCAGTACTGGTGTTGCGGTGCCAGCGCGGCCCGGCTGCAATGATTTGCCGCGACGGCAGATATGAATGGTCGGCAGGGAAGGAGGGTGAATGCTAGGAGGTGGCGTGGGGGGAAGTCGTCATCGGACGATGGGTGAGAGCGCAACGTGTGCAAGGTTACAACGGCGGAGCGGTTCGGCGGGGCGAACCGCGAGCGAGTGGGTGAGGTGGACGATATGCTGTAGGGCGCGGCTGTAACGGTGGCCGGTCGTTTGGTCGTACGAGTCGTGAAGCTCGCTCTGCCCGCGATCCGGCCAGGGAACGAGCGACGGCCAGACTTCAGCTAGCAGCGCCTGACGGGCAGCCAACAACGGATATTATATACGCGTGGCGGTGGTGTGCCGAGAGAGGAGACTCGTCGTCGTACGCACGCATACCGTGTCCTATCGGGTCCCCACCCCCAACCCGCTTTGCCTACTCGCTCGTCGTACCAAGCGCGCACGCATACACATACGCACACGCACATATGTGTACACGCTCGCGCGCAAACAAATGCGCATACACCGCGCGCCCGCGTTCCAAATAACATAATCACGATCCAGACGAAAAGTTTTCCGTTCCGACCACATATTCTACGACTATTACTTATTATTATTATTATTACGATTATCGTTATGTTTACAACTATTATTTCCGTACGCCGTTGGCGACGTTCGACGGCTGTACCGGCAGGTGACATGCATTTGACATTTTCCGACGACGTCGGTCGTGTCGCCGAAACCGTCGTACATAGTCGTGCACGGTCGTAGACACGCATTCCGCTAGCGTCGGGGGCCGCCGCCTGCCGGTAAACGCGGCGCGCGTCAGTCGCAGTACTCCCGTAGGAGGTGGTCGAGGAGGAGCGCGTCAATAGTTGCCGTCGCTGCGCCAGCCACCGCCACCGCAGTGTCAGAGCCCGCATTTGATTTTTTTTTTGCCGTTTTCTCTCATTAACCGCACGTTCGTCGTACGGTCTCGGTGCATCTGTGTGTGTGTGTGTGTGTGTGTGTGTGCTTGAGTCAATCAAGTTTTCCGTGCTCGTACGTGTGTGACGTGAACAGCGGCGTCGCGTGACGATCATCTTGCCGCGATTTCTATACGAACCATCGTATCAACGGCATCGCCATCAAACACCACCATCAAAGGTGAGAGAAGAGAGTGAGCGAGCGAGTGAGCGGCGGAACTTCGCGGACCGGACGTGGCGATCTTTCGCGTTCCGTTTCCCGCCAGGTCGCGGTACCGTATATTATCACACATTATTATAGTATATATTAAAAAATGTTAACAATGTACAATCATTTCGGCGTCGTACGCAGCGAGAGAGACATCCGTAAATGGTATTCGGATGTTCCGGAGGCACGGTCGTCGTCATCCTCGTAGCGATGTAAAGAATTTTATTTTTTTTATATAGGTATATGTGTAATCCTGTTTTTTCGAGCGTAGGTTGACCGGTGTCATTATTATCATCGTTAGTCGTTGCGTGTAGGTACTGCGATGTCTCGACGAAAACATCAATAGTATTAATAATAATTATGATTATAATGTCACATGGACTGTTATATTTTCAGCTACATTTTTTGATAGCAAAATAATGTCTTCACACCGACAAACATAAGCACACACACACACACACACATTTACACCACACAGCGCGCGCGGAAAAATCGTTACACGCCAGCGTTTAAAATAAAACACACGATACAGGGAACGACGCACACCGGGTTTATATTATTTTTATCGAACGAGCCCGCGTGAGGTATACACATATAGTTTTGCAGTTTTTACACGCGCACACGAATCCTTCGTTTTTCGTCGTTGTTTTTTTTCTCCCGACATTCCGCATTGTACACGATAACATTTTTTGTAGATAATGTGTTCGAATGATATTGTACAAATACGACGTTTCTATGAAATTCAATGTAAAATATCCTTTGTTGCCTTGCGAATTGCCGTATCCATTATTGTATATTATTTTCTACTAAATGATATCGTTGTAACCCATTTTCCTCGTCTGTAAACTGTATTTTTATTCCTATTGTTTACCACCCCTCGGCTACATCGAAGTCATTTAGAATTCAACGCCCTGCGTGCGCGTGTGTTTGTCAGTGAGTGTTAGAATTGTAACGATATTATAATCGGTATTTCTGTACAACGCGATGCGTCATTTAGGAGCACGACGTCTTTAATCGACGTTTTTCCTTGTTAAAATATTCACCGTTCATAATGCAATGTTTTCGTTCGATTAGCGAATCGGATTCTTCTTTTCGTTTCTGTTAATATTTTTTATTTTCAGCGGTTTTTTTTTGTAACAATCGAATAACGCGACTCGACACTAAATTCGGGTTTATTCCGTCCGGCCCCGGGGTACCTCACGTAACAATACGAAAAAATATTATCGTATGTAAAAACGTACGATTCTATCATCACGGTGATGACGACGACGATTATTATCCGGATAAAAAATGTACACACTTCGTTGCGCCTCGGGCCTATCGGCGGCGGCGCAATGGTCGGGTGGCGGTGAGGTCAACACTCGTTTTTTCGACGAATACGTTCAAACACATTGGACCCGGATTGTGCCGTCGCCGCCGCGCAACATAATCATTAACCGTTAAAATAATGCATACACACTCTAGAATAATGCATGTGTTTTGTACGTACATGCGCGCGCGCGTGTGTTTATGAAGGACGCTCACACTTTTTTGTTCGCCTCGCACGTTCCAGCGCGCGGCTCGCAATACACTCCAACTCACCGGTAACGCATTGTGTCGTATTTGCCGCGCGATCTTGACAGTATCGTTTCCGTGGAAATCCGCGTGGTGGTAGTTCGCCCTCGCGATAGTGGCGTGACGAGCGCTTTCAACGGTCGTTTATCGTTTTTGTTATGCTAGCATACGTGCGCGCTTCGTAACCGGTGCTCTCTGTTTGTTCTCGCTGTCCGTTTCTGTTCGCGGTGCACATTTTCCATTTCATATACATTTTATTATGTTTTGGTCAGTGTCGGGGTTTTATCGAAAAAGGTGGTATACACGATCGTGGTATAGAGGTGCGTCGAACACGACGAAAACAGTTTCAATTGATGGTTAGGACCGATATTCCATTGACCTGCGCGATGGTTTTTTTTTATTATAATTCAACCACATATCGTTGCCACTCGCGCTGGTAAACGTACCGATAGCGTGATTTGTTCAATTTTGCACCGCCATCATACTTGCAAGTGCAGTACCAATCATAATGATCACTCGTCAACTCGAATATCACCTGACTTTACGTTTCCAGTGACCTCTTGTCGTTGTCGTTTTTCCGCACCAAATCTGCTTTTCACTGGCCGCGACGCGGATTTATAAAATTCTCATTTCACGTTTATAATACTTCTGCGATTATCGTAGAAATACTAGTTCGTTTTGTTGTTCTCGTTCATATGTGATAGCCACGCGCAAAGAGCAAAAGCAATACGTAGAACGGTGGTATGTAAAAAGCAAAAAAAAAAATATTAAAAAAATGGCGAGTATTTCGTTCTTTTTACGTGCCACATGCTCTACCGCCGCCGCTGCCGTTATTTTCATGCAAGTTGAGTACCAAAATATTATTACGGGATTAAATCACGTATACGTTACGGGCCAGAAATACGCCTGGGACGCGGATTCGATTTTTTGAACGACGCGATACATTCGACTCGATCGATCGATTCCATTATGACCATTTAAATCGTTTCCGTCGTCGTTTTCGCTGTAGCTAAAACTGTATGTGAATAGCGCCTATCAAGACAAAAATGAAAATGATTTTCGTACACGGAGAGTGTATTCCGGCGATGCGATTGCGTATCGTAGCGTACCGTTTTTTGAGGGTGGCGGGAATTGGAAAACGTGGGTCAGATCAATCACGCACAGACGTCATGCGCCCACCCGCCGTTACACGAAATACATGTATGTGACGACCGCGACCTGTCCCGATGCGTAACCTGGTCGGTTAGTAGAACTGTATAAATGTCTCGCGTTCGAAACCGTTGTACCACGAAACGCGTCCCGAGGAGAGACCGTACGTATTCGGGCTGTTTGAAAGCTCGTGGATGCGCTTTCTGTTACGAAATCGCGACAAAACGCGAAAAACGAAATCGCGTGACGAAGGAAACGTTACGGCGTCCGTAGTTATTTTTTACGATCTTACGAACTACACGTCGCGGTCGTTGTAAAAATGATAAAAAAAAAAAAAAAGTGCGCCCGTATAATAGCGCACATCAGCTGCTTTACAATAGTAGTAATAATAATAATAATATTATTATTATTAAAACAAACACACGTGTGACGGTCGGGATGAAAATGTAAATGTGACGCCGTTAAAGAAGTGATGTATTGTCATTGCCTTGTCGTTACGTAACGGATTGGCTGTCGCGGTTAAAATTTCAACCGTGGGTTTTTCGAGATGCACGTGCACGGTGCACAATGCGGTCCGTGTGTAGTGCGGTCGCGGATTTAAATCGACGGCGAGTGAGATTTCGAAGGGACGAGCAAATTGTGTGTGAATAACGCGTCAACGACCGCCACCCGCCGGTGTCCTGCGTGTGGGCGGGCTGGCGGAGTGTGATGAATTGGAAAAACGCCTTGAACGAAAGCTTGACGTATTACGCGTACGTTTATTCACCATTCCCTCTTCTCTCGACCCCTTCCCCTCCCCGGCCAAGGGTTGTGGCGCAGTGCAATATTGATTTTATTTTTCCGGACACACCGCCGTTGTAACGGTATATTATTATATTCTCTTATATCATATTATAATGTATACATGTATGCTCGTCGTGGTAGAAAGTGTGTCTACGTCTGTAGGATATATATGTCAAACCACGTTAACAGTCAGGGTCGTACGCGTACCTATATTTAGCCGCTTCTAAGACTCGCATTAACGGCGGAAACGGGAGGGGAAGTAAGTAAAAAAAGTTACGCCCTTTGTTTAAATTAGGTCCTATTTTCTTCACGAACATCGCGGGCCCTGAAATAAATTGTCTTGCAAATATATTTATACCGAATGACCTCCAGCGACAGACGGCAATTCGATTAAACTTTTCTTTTTTTTTTTTGCTATCATTCCATCCGTATTGTAATGGATACCGGAGAATTTTTTATCAATTACTAATATATGTTACTTTCGATTTTTGTTATTGCAGAAAAAAAAAGAAGAGGGTAATATTTTCAAGGATATAATATTTAAATACAATCCATTAATTCGTTATGAAATTATTCAATCGAAAATATTTACTTAATGTGTTGACTTGATTGTTTGCATTCGCGCATTACTTCTCATTGATTTTTTTCCCTACCGTATAAAGTTATGGTAACGTTTCTTACCAATAAGATGCATTTATTTATCGGCCGTCTAAAGTTTTAATTTTGAAAAGAAAATCGAATTTATTATTTCGTTTTACTAAGAATTATTTCAATTTCATGACGACTCATAAATATTTAATAGTTTGTGTGCTTGGACGTATATATATACATTATTCGCTTGTAAAAAGTATAAAAGTGCTGGCTTTTTAAAATGTAGCTCTGATTCTAATTTTTTTTCTTGTTATGTTTGTTCATTAAAATGTATACCTACACCTTTTAGGTATTTAGATATTCAAGTATATACAATGATGTTTTAATTATTTGCTATTATGCTTCACGAAGAGAGAAGAAGAAAAATTAAATTTAATATATTTTATACGTGTCCAAGGTGAAATAAAATTATCCGTGTTTTGTACACGCGTTTGGTAATTGTCGCAAAAATGGTGCTCTCGGTGTAGAATGAGATTATAGATTTTGTAGATATTATTATTGTGTGTACAACACGCGTCTACCTATGGCGGCTAGCTAGTAGCAGCTTTCGCTGTTCTACGTGATCTGAACGTACAACAATAATAATAATAATAATAAAATAAACTAGGTAATATAATATAGTAGTCGCTCGACCGACTAAGTTACCGCAATGTTTCCCAATAAGTTGTGTCTGAATGTCATCAGCAGATTTCTCTAATTTATATTCCTGACCGTATGGAATAGAGGCCTATACGCATGCGAAGAGCTGTCTAATGGAAAAATTGTTGTTTTTCAAAGCGAGAAAAAATGTGTCTTTAAAAATAAATGGAATATTTGTGACCTGGTTTATATGCGATCGATCTTGTATCGTCCGATCGACTACATGCGCTTATGCATGCGGCATTACATGGTTGGTAGGCAATGTTGTAGGAAATAATTTTGGTAATTGTACTAAACAAATTACGAAATATATCTATTAAAATAAATTAGTATTAAATATCTTAGAAAACGAGTACTTAAGAGCAAATATAATGCACGTTACAATTGTTATTTTACTTGTTATGTAATCTGATTATGGCTCTCAACATTCCTAAATTTGCTTATTGTTATATAGTTAAAGTGAATTCTTAAAATATATTATTTTACAATAAATCTATAATCAAAAAATAAGTGTAATGATAATAATTATATTATAATTTTTAATTTTCTCACGGCTATATTACTGTTCAGTCTAGAGTATTTAAGAATTATAAAAGAATATTAAGTTCAAATTGGTAAAAATTCAAATACTTTTCAGAAATTTAGTTAAACAACTAAGTAGGTAATCAAATAGAATTTAATTTAATTCACTGGTATACTTTACCAAGATCGTTAGCAGTAACATAATAAATAAAAAAAAAAAAAAAATGGTTGCACGTGTGTTCAAAATGTTTTTGGTATATAAACAACAGTTGTATAGTAACATTTTTTCGTGTTTACTCGTATATTCAGCAGTTCCGTATAAGTTCTTTCGTTCGACTCGGCTGTTTTTCTCTTACCGTTTTATTTGTATCCCTTTGCATTAGTGTTGCGCATCTTAAATTTAAAAGTTGAATGTATTCGCTCAATATATTTTTCTATAGGTATTGTTATCGTAATTTTTTTTTTTTTTTAGTAATTGTGATTACTACGAATGTTAAACAGCACATTATAGGTACTGTTCGAATAAAACATTACAAACCTTGAAACTTCAAACAAGATAAAGTACTTTTCGCCACTACCATTTCGATGAATTGTCGATTCAGAAATATCTCGTATTAATTAAACGTTCTTCGAGTCGTGTACTCTTGTGTAAAATTGTGTGAATTCTTTATTTTTTTATTTGATTATAGTTTTTAATTATCTTTTAGTATGAATATATAAACTTATATTACCTACCTATGACGACACTTATAAATAACAATCGTTAATACATTTGGAGTTAAAATATGCAGGAAAAAATACTTTTGTATTAGTGAGTTAATGAGTGTTAGTGAGTGAAAATGTACTTTATGTGTATTTATTGTTTAATGCATAGTAATTCAATTGTATTTAGTAGTAATAATTCACTAATAAATCCATTTATTTTTAACAAATTAAATTGAATTTCGAAATTTTACATAATACATTTTTCAGCAATCGTTCCAGAAAATTATTGTCATTTTAAAGTTTTAAAAAATTTAACTACATAATATTTTTTTTCCTTATTTTTATCAATTCACTTTATTTCATTTCTTAAAAATAAATGTTTCAACAGTGAACTTTGATTTGTTCATAACTCTCGAAACTTAATGAATAAAGAAATATTTTTATGTACTAAATTACAAATTTACGAAACTCATCATATTATGTTTTATATTTAGTAGTCGTTGTTTAAACAAAATATTGTTATAAATAAAGTTCTTAATGTTAATGAGGTTTATCGTGTGGAGAATGTTAAAAGGCTACAAATGTATGCAATTAATAATTTTAAAATTTCATTAGAAAATAAAAATATCTAACGTTTTAAAAGTTATTTTACGTATATTTTTGTAGCGTGCAAATATTTATAGGAATATATTTTTAAACTAATTATTATGCTGTTTTATTTAGCGAACGATCATAAAACGGAATTCTCGTATTTATAATTAAACAATAGCTATTAAACAATCATTATTAAAAAAATGTACATAATTGTTATTATTATGTAAAATATATGTTCTAGCCCGTTTAAAAATAAATAAATAAATAATTCACAAAAATAACGTAATAACATTATCACAACATGTGTTGTAAAATTATCATCTATAGAAAAATGTTTCGCTAAATGTAATAAATTATATGCACCATAAGTTTTAAAATCACAGAATATAAAATATAAATGAGGTTATCTATTTTGAATAACAACCACATGTTAATTTTATGTAATTATTGTTTATAACATTGTTGGTCGATGTAATTTATTAATTTCTAATTTATTATAAGGGTGTGATTGGATAACTAAACAGTATTGTCAGTTATGAATGCCCTTTAGACTCAAGAAGGTTTCTAATGTCATCCGATAATATTTTACTATGTGTTAATTTTATATTATGTAGCAATACTTATAAGCATAATATACGAATCACCTGAACGCCATTATTCTAAATGAGTAAATCATTGAATTTTTTTTACTTCATTATGTAATAAGTAAATTAGCGTACGGTAAAAATTCTAACGTGATAATATAGGTAGGTACCTACAAAAATGTAATTTTCTTACATTATTAATTTACAAAATTGGCATACAAGTATATGTAAATATTCATTGTAATTATTTAACCGATTATTATGATAAAATATTTTGTTTTAGATAAAAAAAAATACTCAACACATAAGTGTGGTTCATTCAGAAGTTATATTAAAAAGTTATAACGATAAATTCGGTTTGTGACTGTTCTGTGTCGACAAATAATTTTTTAATGATTCACGTAAGAATATTTTAAATTTTGAAATTAATTTTAAAAATGCACATGCAATTTGAAATTGTTTATTTCTTACTTACAAGGTATTAAAAATTGTTTTTGCTATTTCACATTACGATTTTAAGTACATATTCAGTACGTAAAATACTTGTTTCAGAAGCTTCTATTTTACATTTTTATATACTTGTATGCGAATTTAAAAATAAACGAGAAATCAGTAACTTAAATTTACATTAGGTGCGTCATTTGAATGATGAATTAAAATTACTTACGATATTGACAATACCGAGGTCAATACCAATTAAATTGATTGGATTTGTGTTAAAATAAACATATTTATTAGTGATATAACTTTATATACCACTTTTTTTATGCAAGAGATATTAAACTTATGAAAATCAGAAATCTTTATGTTTTTTGTTTGTTTATTTAGTCGGGTGTTTTATTTTGTTACGTGGATAATATTTAATACGGAAGATTAACGTAATAATTACTCATCAACATATGAAACTAATAATTACATACATTAATAAACCTATCAAATGTGTATTTATTTCGAACCTTGACCTTTCAAAATATTAGTATGCTTATTTTAAGTACTAATGTTATCATATCATTTAATTCGATTGTTTATTTTATACTGACGTATGATAGATCTATTATACAAATTTATTTGTGATTAAATTAGAAAAATCTTTTGTAAGAAAACCATTGTTAAAATTATTGTATTATAAAGTGTTTTTTTTTTGTACATTGATTTATTAATTCAAGAATTCATATGGAATTTAGAAATACACTTAACGCTTAATTGTTTAATTTATTGTCTAGCGTGCTTTGAAATTATTAATACAATTTCAAATATTTGATAATCAGTGTTTATTAATAATAATAGTTTTAATAATGTTCTAAACAAGTGGAGTTAGTGTTAATCATTTGAGAAAATGAAGCTAAATTTTATTTTACTTGAGAAAGATGACTTCGAAACTTATTATTGCTTATTTAGTATGATTATAAATTAAAACGACGTACACTTATTTACATCGAATACAGCGAAATAGTAAACATCAAAGTTGTTTCAATCGTTATACAATTCAATAAATCTCTAATTATTGGATTAATGTTTTCTTCTAAATTTATTATTTTATTTTACTTATGCGTTTTCAATAAAATAATGCTTAAATTACGAAAATTACATGACGTGTATATTTTATTACAATAAGTATTTATTTGGTATAATATTATCACAAACTTATTATAAATAACGCGGAACATATGATAAGTGCTATTGTAACATTGAAGTATTTAACTATGTAAATTGTTATACTTTTCATTTTAAATAATGAAATTACCTTATGCAGTTATTTTTATAGTAGTAGTTTGCACCGGTAAAAATTGTAATCGTTGGGTGTACCTACAGTTTTAAATGTTATTTTCTGTGTTGTTGGTAATCAATCACTAATCATAGTAATTTTATTTTTTCACGTTGACAGATACATTTTGCTATCGATTGAAAAGACATCACCAGCACTACTGCAGTTGAAGTAGCAGTAGCTACTTCCGCCACTGGCGGTAAGTTCGCCGAAGTCGTTACTTGTCGTGCTATTAACGACAAAAGCAACCACGACGGCCGCCACTACAATTATCAAAACGACGGTCGCCGCTAAGACGACCGCCGCCTCCACCACCATTAAAGTACTGTCAAAACGCAGAAGACCCTGGAGTGTAGTAATCCAGTACAAATGATTTTGTGGTAAGTTGAATTTGTTGTGAGGATAAAGGTAAAGTGCGAAAAGTTCACGTTTGTTAAACGTCTTAAGTATATCATACGTTATGTCGTTAAGTCATCATATGTAATCAAATATATTAATATTACTGTCAAGTTTATTTCTATTTACTTAGTACGTTACTAAGAGTACATGCTTATGTTTTTGTCAGAGCGGACGAAAAGAAAACTTCCAAATGTTTTGTTCAACTGTATATTAAAACGTAGTTGGGTATGAATTTTCACAATTTTGCTTTATTTTTCTCGTATATATTTTACATATAGTTCGAACGCATATCAATTGGTTATCTAAGTGTTTTATTTTAATTAAAATAAACGGAACTAAGTATAATTTATTCATGATAAATGTTTAAAAAAATGGTTACTCATTCAGAATGAAATTCCATACTGTACTTTTTAAATCTAATAAAATTTTAGTGATTAATTATTTCAGCATGTTTTGCATTATGGAATAATTTATTAATCTTAAGAATTATATTTAACAGATAAATATAATTAAATAATAATTACTTTAAAGCCAATTTTTTTTTAAATTTAGTGTAAATGAATAATGTTTATGTGTTTTTTTAAGTAAATACTTATGAAATATTAAACTTGATGGCATTGAAATGAAAACAACCTATAGAAAAGTTGATAAACTTTTAAAACACAGTAATAAGCTTAGATAGTTGGAAATGAAGTATATAATTATTTAGCAAAATATAAATTTTAAGTTTTTGTAGTTGGGGTTTAAAAGTTATATTAAGCATATAATTTTAATATTATATGTATTTTGAAAAAGGACTTAAATAAATCCATCATTATTTAAAGTGTATTTTTTTAACTATTATGTAGAAAATGTAATAAACTAAAAAGTTTTGTATAAAATATTGTTAAATTTACATTGAGTACACGAAACAAAAGTTTTGTAATTACTTACTTAATCATAAAATTATAAAAATAAAATATTATCATCTTCGTTTTTGCCACACTTTTTTTTTTTTTTTATCATAATTTATAACCGCAAATCTAGAAAAATTGAGTGTTATAAAATTGGGAAAAAAAGCAAATAACCTAAAAGTTCATAATAAATGTAAATAATTATTATTTAATATTAAAATTAAATATTTATTGGTTATTTAATGAACTAGTTAATAACTATACAAAATTTATTTATCAATATATACTTGTATAAAAAATTTATAATTTTTTAAAGAAAAATGCAAACTTTTTATTTCTAAACAAATCTACCTATTTAAGTTTTATATACCTATCAATATATACTTGTATAAAAAATTTGTAATTATTTAAAAAAAAATGCAAACTATTTATTTCTAAACAAATCAACCTATTTATGTTTTATGTACCTATACATTGTTTAGAAAATTAATCTGAGTTGATAAATATTTTAAAAATTAAGATAGTTTTGCATTATGAATCATAATTATATATTAAAAGTAAATTAAATGTAGTGGACCTTTTTTCAGGATACATAGTCTTTTACAGAACATGCTTCATCTAAATATAATTTACTAACAATATTTCATAATATTCGTGAAATAAAAAATAGCAAACAAATATTTTGTGTTTATTTTAATTTGTTGTTAGATTTAATTAAAATGTATTTTAAAATTGGTTGTGTCTGAATTATATGTTCAGTCCTAAAATGTGATATGTATCAAATCATTGTCTCACCTTTAGTAAGATAAACAACATCTTCTTTCAATGATAGTACGAATCAACTAATTATGCAATTTTTAATACATATATCAGCTACGATATATATAATTACATTTATCTTAAATGTGTTAATTTTATATAACAAAGTAATTTTTATCACATATACAATAAACCTTTTAAATAAAATGTGAATTATGTTTCAATGGGTGTTTCAAGAAGTAAGGTAATTTTTCAAACAAGTATTTGATTTAAATACCAAAAATAATTTGTAGTATTGCAAATATAATCATTTTTTTATGGAATAAGATTCTATATATTATCATTTAAATTACTATTCTGTGTATTTTATTTTATTATAATGTTACAGTGATAACGTACATTTAGGTTTAATTTTGTTTTCCTTTGTACAACTCGAAATGTGTCGTGTAGTGGAGTGTATTGTTTGATACAGTAAATAAACCTTATGAGATAAAAATTTTTATATCTAGTGTTTATTATGTTTTAGAATTTTAAATGTAAATCCCTAACATAGGTATTTTTAAAAAGTCTTGGGACATTTTCGATTTGTGAAGTGAATTTCTTATTACATGCAACATTGAAAACAGAGACAAGTGCTAATCATTCCGAATAATAGTATTGGCATTTGTTTACTTTATGCATTAATGTGTGTAATATAACATACAGTTAAATTAAATAAATATATAGTAGTTGAAATTATTCGTATAATAAACGTTGGAATTTTCTAAGTATTAATACTTTGGCTGTAGTAAAATGAATAACCTATGTTTTAGAATTTTATTTTTTAATCATAAAACGCACTCTAGACATATTGGTTTCACGTAAAATTATAAATATATATATATATAATTTATTAAATATTGGAATTTTGTTGGCTTGAAGGTTAAACGTGCAGAATCTTGTTTCGCCTTATAATACAATGTGTGAAGTTTGAAATGTTATATAATGCACTTATTAATCTCATTGTTTAATAAGTTTGTTTAGTATGAAAATGTATAAAACTTAAAGAGTTTTAATAAGAAGAAATTTATTGTTCGATAAATTCAATTTATTTCAAATTATATGATCAGATATGGTTAAATAAAATATTGTATTAGTTAAAATACGCGTCCTAATATTTTTCGTCTAACAAAATATGTAAATACTAGTACTGTTAAAATAAAATCTATACATTTTGATAATATTTGGATTAAATTATGTTATAAATTTAATAACACTAGATCAGTGTTTCTTAACGTGGGCGTACCGCCTTCTAAGGGGCATTTTGATCCTTTAGGGGGTTGATAGGATTGAAGGGGGCGTTGGAGGGGCAGTAAGTTCTATAATGCCAATGGACATTATAGAAAAACACCAGTGTCTAGTGATACATATTATCACACGTGAAATCACAAAAATTGTAATTACGTACGTTCGTACGTCACATTATCTAATCGAGTTTTATAGGAAATACTTCAATAACATGTTTATTAATAGATTTACTTTTATACCCATTTTCTTATAGTGTTGGAACCCACCTCGCAGTATGTGACTGACTATATCTCAGCTATAAACGTCAACACATCGAGTTTTCTAGTGCGCCTTCACGTGTCTTAATTTTAATTAATTTTAAGTATAAAACTCTAAATAATCACATTTTAATAATGAGTGAAAAATAGAAGTGTTGTCAATACTCGGAGTAGTACTTATTTGGTTTGGTTTTATCGCTTCATCGCATCATTTACAGTTATCGTTTTATCTTGTATGTGGAAGAACATTTTCTAATGAGGCGATGAAATCATCACGGTTGGATAGAGCATTTATCAAAAATAGATTTCGACAAAATAAAGCCACTTTCATTTTTTCAGGACCATAAAACAAAAATTGAAAAAATGGCTACTGTGAATAGTTGATTTAAAAAAAAAATCAACTGATTCAAATAAGGAACTCATCGTTTCATACAAAGTGTTTTTATTAGTTCTAAAAAACGATATAGGTACCTCATTAATTCGGGGAAACGCTTATTTTACCTGATGTTAAGGAAATAGTTGACACTATGCAAGGAGAGAGTTCAAGTAATAAAATAATGAAATCAGTTCCTTTGAGCAATGACACTGTCTCCAAAGGAATTGACGAAATGGCTGATAGCTGATAACGTAACAGATTATAAAGCTATTTTACTAGCGTATGTGCGATTTATCAAGAACAGTAAAGAAATGGTCCAAGAGTTATTGTTTGCTAAGAGTTTAATAACTAATACCAAAGGATCGTCGATTATCTACCAAAAATTAAACTATGAGTTTTTATTTTAAATTAGATACTGGTCCATAAATATATAACACTTTTTTGATTGGTTTGGAGAGGGGGGGGGTTGTAATTCGTCATTTATCTCGATAAAGGAGTGGCGCTGAACCGAAAAAGGTTAAGAACCACTGCACTAGATAATAAAAAGCTAATAAAAAATAATTTTTAAAGGTGTAAAATTAAATTTCATATTTAATTTAATTTAAATAAAAGTCATAAAAATTATAATATCAAAATCTAAAATTGATAAATATGAACATAATATTATATTCTTTAAAATAATTTTATTTAAATGATTTATATATTCTTTTTCTACATTATTAATTAAAAAAAGTAAATGTATAACAAATCTAAGAAGAATTTGATATTTGAAATGTTTTAAACTCAATAACTATATTTATGAATTTTCTTTATAATGTAATTCGAATATACGATTATGTATTAAATAGTTTTAAATTATAAAGAAAACTCCGATAGAAAACTCCACAGGGGGTTTATGTGATTTCATTTTTAAAAACTTTATGTAAAATATTATTATATTCTATAACTTATAATTTACACGGAAACCTGAAGTGTTTGATTGAAATATAATTATTATACATAATTTTATTCATAAATTAACAACATTATTATTTCATGTTAAAATTATGTATAAAGAATATTTTATACGTTCAAATAGCATATGTTTATAATTTAAATTAATATAATTAAAAGTAATGTATTTAAATGTATATACAAATATTAATCATTTATGTAAATATTCATTTATTGTTTTAATATTTTTATTCACACATGAAAGTTCATAGTATTTTTCTGTACATTTTAAATAGTAGTAAACTGAACATAACTGTATTTTAATTTCGTTAATCAATAGTTAATATAAAAGAGATAAATTTAAGTAAATATATAATTTTCTTAAAATAATATTGTTCGTCTGTTTATAAATAATTTTTTTGGAGTCGATTATTATTGAATACTGAATTTAACTTACTATAATATTTACCTTTTCATCTTAAAAACATGTATATGTATTTAATAGTTTTTTTATTATTGAAAATTATTGTTAAATTTATTACCGTTTTATGAAAAAAAAATGATGTATACCAGTTCAATAAAAATATTGTTAAGGTATTTTGTGTAGGTATATCATAAATTATAGTGATAGTTTAATTAACATTTTTTGCGACTCATAAAAGTAACTAATTTTTTCTAAAAGCAGCGAGTTTTTTTCCCATGGTATAGAATATTTTTATTATAATATAAAATTTTGATACTTAATTTTTTGTTTTTTTTATTTGTTTTATATAAAAAGTAAAATGTTTATAATTTGTTTTAAAGCCTAAGTATGAATATGCGAATATATGAGGTTAGGTAAATTGGGTCCACGATAAGTTTGGTACTTTTTGAAAGCGGTAAGTTGAGTCCCGGGGAAAAAAAAGTATTGGGTAAATTGGGTCCCGGCTAATAATTTGATTGATTTTCAACGATAAAATGTCAATGTAATCTTTGATTACGTCTAATTAAAATACGTATATCATACGGTGCTACAGGAGGATGGAAAAGATAATTTGGATTGACAGAATCACTAATGAAGAAGTTTTAGGAAGGGTATCTGAGAGGAAATAAATATGGAAGAGTATACAGAAAAGGCGAAATGAATTAATAGGTCATATTTTATTATACGATGAGCTGCTATTACTAATGTTAGAAGAAATAATCGATGGATATTTTGTGATAATATACTAGATACTTACAAGTATATCTCAGCTAATGCTAAATTTCCCCCAAATATTTGGTCTCAATTTTCTGCCACCACCGTGCGTACAACCAATAAATGTGAATCATATCATTCACGATTAAACCTTCGATTTTACATCCTACTATTTTTTACTTTGTAAACAAGTTATTAGAAATACAGTGAGAGATATAAGTAAAATTACGAAGCACAAATTAAAAAAAGAAAAATACGCTGGATAAAAAACAAACTAAGGAGCAAATGAAAAAGTACACTAATAATATAATAACCGAATTTGAGTTTGTTTAATCCATATTATTTAAGTTTTTACCAAGCGAATAATTTATAATTAATTAATTCTTATATTTTATAACATGTATGTTTTAAATTATTTATTTTTTTTTTTTTTTGTATATTATTAATAAAATTAATTTGTTTTTGCTGGGACCCAATTTACCTACTACCTATTTTTTCCCGGGACTCAACATACTTACTGGCTACTTTTTGCGGGACTCAATTTACCTATAAAAGGTCATTTAGGACCCAATTTACCAGCTTCCATTTCAATAAATAAGTGCAAAAATAATTATCAATAATTACTATAATAATTGTTTGTTATTTATTAAATTATTTTTGTTTTGTATTACTTATTTTATTATTTGTTCTCATTTTTTGTACATTTATACGCAAGAACTAAACCAATTTTTATTATAAAAGAACATACAAAAAACTCTTATACAAAAAAATAAAAATATTTTTAATGTTTTTCACGCTTTTTTTATTACTATAAGAAATAAAATGGAATCGATGAGGAAAGGTAATAAGTAATTCAAAACCACATTTATAGAAGATATATTTTATTATTTTACAGATGATATTCATAACACATTTAATTATTCATTAATTTATTATTATTACGTATTATCAACATTAATATTATAATGTATTAATAAATGAGATATTTATTTTAAAATATTATATTGTACTCATATTTATTAAATAATAATTGTGTTCAATAATAAAATATTCGTTATAAAAAGAAATATGGTTGTTTATAATATCGTTCTTGAATTAATATATTTCTTAAAACATAATTTCAATAATAATTATTATGTTGTAAATAATATTTTATTATATGTTACTTCTTATAATTACAAGTATTGAAAAAATATTAAATAAGAAATATTAATAAATAAATAATAAATAAAAAATTTATATTTCATTACATTCCTATATAATTTAATTTTGGAATTTGTGATACATTTTCTATAGTTGTATTTAAAATTAAATTATTGATTAATAAAATATATACTTATTTTTTTCTGAATTGTATTTATGTAGATGTTCAGTATTAATTCGTATTCCTGTATCAAACAAATTATATTCAATTAAAATTAATTTTGAAAATGTTACGAAATTAAAGTGAATATGTGATGAAAATTGTTGGTGTCTAAGTAATAATAATAGTAATAATAGTTTAATATGATGTAACATAACAAACGTTATGAGAGTTTAAGAGTGAAAAACGAACTAAAATAGTCTTTTTCCATCGTCAGCTATTTTGAGGTAATATAATCTTTGTTTAACGATGCTACTTTGTTAACAAATTATAAATTAAAATGATCCTATGTCGTACGTCATTGCTATCTGGGATAATCATCTGATGGCGGAAAGCGTGAGCGTTTTCGTATTACTAATATTATAATACTATATTCGCAGCTAACGGACAGACAGTTGGTGTAAATTAGTAACGTCCGGTGATGATGAGGATAACGTTGGTCGTATGTTAATAAATGCGTTTAGTTTGAGTTAGTACTGAGTGCGGTGGTAAATGTGACTAACGAAATGAATTTGGTGGTGTTGATTATATTGACGTAACTATTATGTGAAACTCGCCTTTGGCCCATTTTTTAAATTGTCAAATTAATTGTTTATTATCATAGTAATTAACAATAATATCATATGAAAACCTAATGGTTACATTAATTTAATGATTAGACAAAAAAATATCAAGAATTAAAGTCACCAAACATATATATTATAGTAAAATGCATATTATGATGACAATTAGTAAAGATAATTATATTTTGTTCTTATTTTATATCAACAGACTACTATTAAAACGGAGAGAAAGGCGAACGTATAGCAATTCAGCCGACATTTAGACAGTCTTCTACTTCAGTTTTCTTACATTATTGTGAATAATCCACAGTTATTTGTTTAATCGTATTACCAAAAACACAACAAAATGGCTACAATAGACGGACGACCCGCTCAGTACGGGGTTACGTTAAAACAATTGCGTGAACTTATGGAACATAGAGGCCGTGAAGGTATCGAGAAATTAAACGAGCTAGGTGGCGTTCAAGATATTTGTAAAAAGCTGTACACATCACCCAGTGAAGGTAATTAATTTTTTTTGTTCTCTTTTTATGTTTTTCATGTATCTAAAAATGATTATAATTGTTTGTACCATTAATTATGCAGGATTAAGTGGATCTACGGCTGATTTGGAACATAGAAAAGAGACATTCAGTTCAAATACAATACCTCCTAAACCTCCGAAGACATTTATGCAACTTGTGTGGGAAGCTTTGCAGGATGTTACTCTTATTATTTTAGAAATTGCCGCTATTGTTTCATTGGTGTTGTCGCTTTACAAACCAGCCGACGAAGAATGTATATTTTCTGTTAACATAATAGTTCTTTGTATGATGGTGTATTTTAATTACAATTATATTTTCTGTTCCTACAGCAATGACCGCCGAAGACGATGAAGCGAAACATGGATGGATTGAAGGATTAGCTATATTAATATCAGTTATAGTGGTTGTCATTGTAACAGCGTTCAATGATTATACAAAGGAACGACAGTTTCGTGGTCTTCAAAACCGTATTGAGGGTGAACACAAATTCAATGTCATCAGGCAAGGCGAACTGCGTCAAATTTCTGTTGGAGACATAGTCGTTGGCGATATTTGCCAGGTAGTTTAGATGTTAAAATAATTATTGAGTGACCATTGTTTGCCCAAATAGTAAATAATATGTTTCTGTTATTTAACAGATTAAATACGGAGATTTGCTTCCTGCTGATGGTGTTCTTATTCAAAGTAACGATTTAAAGATCGATGAATCTTCTTTGACTGGCGAGTCAGATCATGTTAAAAAAGGAGAATCTTTCGATCCTATGGTTTTGTCGGGTAGGAATTATTAAATTTAACAAAATGTCTTTTCAATATTTTTTAAACTAAATTAAACGGTTTTTTATTTAAAGGAACCCATGTAATGGAAGGTAGTGGTAAAATGTTAGTCACTGCAGTGGGTATAAATTCCCAAGCTGGAATCATATTCACACTGTTGGGTGCAGCAGTAGATCAACAAGAAGAGGAAATGAAAAAACAACGAAAAGGTATTTATCGTACTTGTGGTTAAAAGTTATATTTTTAGATGTAGTTAATATTAATAAATGAATTGTTCCATTTATACTTTTATATAAAAATTAAACCATAAAGCTCAAAGTAGAAGTAGAAAACGTCAATATATATATATATTTATTATTTATATTATTTATAATTTTATTCACTATTCTATTACATATTTCTTTTGAATGAAAAATTATAAAACTTATATTAGATTTTGTTGAGTATTTGATGTTAAGTTTCTAAATTCTAGGTGTATTAAATACAAAGATCAAAGTTTCTTCTGTATGCTACAAATGTTCGAAACACTAGTTAATTTTAACCGTTCTATTCAAACTTATTGCATGTTAATAAATGCATATTCAAAATATTTATTTTTACTATCCTAATCTGTGTTTTATTTTATATTCTAATTCATTAAATCATTCTTGTTGACATTAAAATTAAATTTGTTTTATATTAATTACATCACCGTAAAAATTAATTTAATTACTATCTAATTTAGTCCTATCATATAGTATTTCATTAGTTATGGATCGTATAATTTAGAAACTTGTCATAAATGGAATATTTGATTGTGTCCTTGCGATTTTGACTTTGGTTGTTTCGCTCTATTTATATATATATATATTTTTTTTTACTAAAACTTTGTTAAATAATATATTTAATGATATAAAATAAACATTTTTTGAAACAGAAGCCAGAAAAGTTAAAGGTAAGGGCTTAACTGATGAAGCACCTCCTACTATTAACAGCCATACTACGGATATGAGTATGAAGCAATTGAACAAAGGCGCTGAAACAGATGATGATACAGCTGGCGGTGGTGAAAAGGCTGAAGAGGAGCCCGCCAAAAAAGACAAGTCTGTTTTACAAGCTAAACTTACCAAATTAGCTATACAAATTGGATATGCAGGTAAATTATTTTGAAATTATTTATTCAAATCATTATTAAATAAAGTAATCATTAATCATACTATTATTGTTAATATTATTAGGATCAACCATTGCTGTCCTCACTGTGCTTATATTGGTCATTCAATTTTGTATCACTACATTTGTCATCGAACATAAACAGTGGAAGAACCATTATGCTGGTGAATTTGTTCGTCATTTAATTATTGGTGTCACTGTATTGGTAGTGGCTGTTCCTGAAGGACTTCCTCTTGCTGTGACCCTCTCTTTAGCATATTCAGTCAAGGTATTTTCTTTTTCGTATTTTCTTTATTATTTATATCTAGTTTTTTAAATTTATTATTGATGTTTATTTTGTAATCTTTGTAGAAAATGATGAAAGATAACAATTTGGTTAGACATCTAGATGCTTGTGAAACTATGGGTAATGCCACAGCCATTTGTTCTGATAAGACTGGTACCCTAACGACAAATCGAATGACAGTTGTTCAATCATATATCTGTGAAGTTCTTAGTAAAACAATGCCTCAATTCGCTTCAATACCATCGAATGTTGGAAATTTGATGGTACAAGCAATTTCTATTAATTCGGCATATACATCTAAAATTATGCCACCCGATGACCCAACTAGTGAATTACCCAAACAAGTTGGTAATAAAACCGAATGTGCTCTATTGGGTTTCATCCTTGCACTTGGAAAAAATTATCAAACATGGCGTGACGATATTCCAGAAGAAATGCTAACACGTGTATATACGTTCAACTCGGTGCGTAAGTCTATGAGTACTGTCATTCCTAGAGAAGGCGGTGGCTACAGACTATTTACCAAGGGTGCTTCAGAAATAGTATTAAAAAAATGTGCATACATTTATGGCCGAGATGGTCGATTGGAAAAATTCTCACGGGAAATGCAAGATCGTTTGGTAAGGAATGTTATTGAACCTATGGCTTCAGATGGTCTGCGTACTATTTCAGTAGCATACAAAGATTTCTTACCCGGAAAAACTGATTCACCTAACCAAGTACATTATGAGGGTGAACCTGATTGGGATTCTGAAGATAAAATAGTGTGTGACCTAACCGCTCTGTGCGTTGTAGGAATTGAAGATCCTGTTCGGCCAGAGGTAAAATCGCGTTGCTCTTTACAATAGAAAGTGTTTTAAAATTAGTATTTTTAGGTCCCCGAAGCAATCAGAAAATGTCAGCGAGCCGGTATTACTGTGCGTATGGTTACTGGTGATAATGTAAATACAGCTCGATCCATTGCTACTAAATGTGGTATATTCAAACCCGGTGAAGATTGGCTTGTTTTGGAGGGCAAAGAATTCAATCAGCGAATTCGTGATGCTAATGGCGATGTCAATATACTTACTACTTTAATTTTAATAACATATTTATTAAGTTATTTTGTATTTGTAGGTTCAACAACACTTATTAGATAAAGTGTGGCCTAAATTGAGAGTATTGGCTAGGTCCTCGCCCACGGATAAATACACTTTGGTCAAAGGTATAATTGACAGCAAAGTGAGTGATAGTCGTGAGGTTGTGGCTGTAACGGGTGATGGTACAAATGATGGCCCTGCTCTAAAGAAAGCTGATGTTGGATTTGCCATGGTAAAAAATTTAAAAATTAAAATTTTTTTTTTTAAATTTGATTTTTCTGATATTGAAAACTAATTTGATATATGTACTTATGTTTATCTATATTTATAGGGTATTGCTGGAACAGATGTAGCCAAGGAAGCTTCGGATATTATATTAACTGATGACAACTTCAGTAGTATTGTGAAGGCAGTTATGTGGGGTCGTAACGTATACGACAGCATTGCAAAATTCTTACAGTTTCAGTTGACTGTCAATGTAGTGGCTGTTATTGTTGCGTTTATTGGAGCGTGTGCTGTGCAAGATAGTCCGCTAAAAGTAAATACCATTCGGCTTATTAAATACACATTTTCATTGTTTACATTTAACATGATAATATGGGACCCAAGTGCAACTACATTCTCTCGTTAACTTGAGAGTTCAAATAAATTATTGAGGTTTATTAGCTATGTACTAAATAATTTCGTATCCTTCCCCTCATGATTACTCTTCTGCAATGACACATCTAAGCTTAATTTTTTTAGTTGGCTGTAGACATGTAGCAAATTTAACCTTTTATATTTTTTGGTAAAATCGATTTCCTTACACAATTTTACCAAATTAATTATAATGCACCTTATTGCCCTACACACGTTGTTTTTTCTATCGAACTATCTTATTCTCATAATGTAAATAATCAACGATTCCGTCGTTGATTGCATAGAGTAAATTTGAACCTCTCCTTCTCATTTTTATAAATTGTTTTGCATAATTAGTGAATTGTATACATTATTTTTTTAAAAAACTATTAAATTAATAATTCTGAAAAAAAAGCTTATAGACGTGTAAATATATTAAATAAATAAATAATATATAAGCTTTAGTGAAATAAAAGCCCAATATGAGTAACTTATGTGTCATAAAATTTGAATAAAGTGTAATCCAAAAATATCATAAAATAATGTGTTATTTTTTTAGTATATTTTTTTTCATTACACTAACTGAGTAACTAACGGTATGAACAAACTTTACAAGCAGAACGAAGTCAAAATAAACTGAATATAGTTATTTTTAATTTTTACTGTGTCCACACTATTGTATTTCTTTTGCTGGTCGAAAACCAAAAAACTCTTTTTAAATCGATGCTTATTGGGAAATTCTTGATGATAACTTTATAAATTATAGTATATGACACTATAATAGTATTAAAATAATAATTATTATTTTCTTACATTTTTATTTTTATGTATTTATAGGCTGTTCAGATGTTGTGGGTAAATTTGATCATGGACACGTTGGCCTCGTTGGCTTTGGCCACGGAGTTACCTACGTCTGATCTATTGTTGCGTAAACCGTATGGTCGTACAAAACCTCTGATATCACGTACAATGATGAAGAATATTATCGGCCAGGCCGTGTACCAGCTGACGGTGATATTTTCGCTGTTGTTCGTCGGCGATAAGATGCTTGACATACCAACGGGCCGTGGCGCAGAGTTCGGCTCTGAACCCACCCAACATTTCACTGTCATTTTCAACACATTCGTCATGATGACGTTATTCAACGAGATAAACGCGCGGAAAATACATGGTCAGCGCAACGTGTTCCAGGGATTCTTCACCAACCCGATATTCTATAGCATATGGATCGGTACCGTGCTGTCCCAGGTGTTCATCATTCAATACGGAAAAGAAGCGTTCAGCACCAAGAGCCTGTCGCTGGAACAGTGGATGTGGTGCTTGTTATTCGGTTTCGGCACACTGCTATGGGGCCAAATAGTCACCACTGTGCCTACCCGTAAAATCCCGAAACTTCTATCGTAAGTAGAAATCCGTTTCATCACTACCATTATATCCTCATCGTCATCATCGTTATTATTATTGTAATTACATTTTTTCTTGATACATTTTAAATATAATATTTAATATATTTTCTTTTTCTTCTTGGTTTACTTCGTTGAACGAACGAGCTTCAATGCCCGTCGGCTATACAACCATGCGCACGTATACACCGACGGGGAGTGACGAAACGAGTTTATTAACGGCCTTGTCGCCTTGTGGTTTTTGTTTTTCGCAGATGGGGACGCGGTCAACCGGAGGATTACACGCATGCTATAAATCTAGGTGATGAGAACAGATATGATCCCGATTCCGGGCAAAAGCCGCGTGCCGGCCAGATCCTGTGGATCCGTGGACTGACCAGGCTTCAGACTCAGGTTAGAGCATCATTGGCTGCATCACTGGCTACCGCCAAAATAGGGCGGATAAATGTTAATTTTTCTGTCTTTTGTTACAGTCGTTTTTTCTTGTTATTGTCCATTTTTATTTAATCGTTTATTTTTTTAAGTTTATTATTTTTTCCGAACTCTTCATATCTTTCTCGACAATCGATGTATTATTTTAATGTCTTATATCGTCGTGTTTAGCTACACGTATCTATTTACTGATACATATAGATATAATTCTTTCTCTTTGTTTTTTGTCGTTTGTTCGTTTTTCCAAAATTTCTGTGCAAGTTATCTATCGTACATATCGTTTTTTCAGTCATTATATATACATTTCTACTATTAATTTCGCCATCTTTTCTTCTTTATTAGATAGAACAAAATATTCAGTTTTAGTTTTGTTTTTATTTATTTTGATTTTCGTTTTTACTGCGATTCGCACATTATAGGCATTATTGAAAAACATTAACATTGTATATAAATATATACTTATATACATATATATGTGTATAAAATGTATTTATATATATTTTATTTTATTTTTATTTTTTTTATTATACATTTCCATAATTGCATTTTACATGGTACACACATATACTATTTAGTATTTATATAAACAGTACTGCGTAAGGGATATTATGGGTGATATTGGAACCCTTGGGAGTTCATAAAACTAATTTATACGATTATTTGAAACATATACACATATATTTATAATGTATATGTAAAAATGTTTATATAAAGAAGTCTATTACTTAAAAAAGTAATAATATATGTAGTTACATCGTTTATATTCGTACTGTATTGAAAACTATCAATATTTTTCTCCATTAAGTCTTACCAAAACTTTTATGATTGTGGTCTGTGGTCATGCAATAAGTATTGGCTAATTAGTAACAGTAAGTAATATTTAGGAAAATATTTTTGTAAAAGTATTGCATGTAGTAATTGATCCACATAAACTATTAATATTATATAAATATTACTCCGTCAATATCTTATCCAAAATATCGTAGGGTACGGTAAATTGTAAAATAACGACTCTCGTTCGTTGTCATGCATTTTCTGATGTTGTGTCGTCAACAAATTGTTTTCAACGAAGAATCTATGTAGTGATTAATCAAACATTTGTGTGTAAAAACTTGTTTTCCCTGTCAATTAAAATCGCGCGTTAATTCTACCCCTCAAACAGCCCATCGATAGCCGAGCGAGTGAGCCAGCTGTTTATTATATATTCAAGAAAAACTTTATTAATAAAGATTTTTCAAAAACAAATAATATTATCACCGATAGGCAATAAAATTGTTCTGCTGTCAATTGTTTTTACCATTTTCATTTAAACATTTACTATTTTTAAGTGAGAAGTAGGATTTTTGTTAGTTTAATTAACGTGTTTATGAGTTTAATTTTTTCACTACTTAAAAGTTATTTATATATATATGTTCATTATCATCATTTTTTCATTGCCATTACTATAGTTTTTTATTTATTGTTTTCAGAATGAAATGTAATTTATATAAATAACATACCATTTTTTGTAAACATTAGTGTAGTATCCAGTAAATGAATGAAAAGTTTGTCTTTAATTGTTTTCTCTATAATATTTACTAGTATCAATAAAATTAATCGAAACAATATTACGTGGAATTGATAATTATTTTAATTTTTAGACGACAGACAATAGAATATCCAAAAGTATTTTTTGAGATTTTTATCTTCTATTGATATAAACTTGCAAGCATTTGAATAGTCAATCATTTTAAAATCAAAATCGTAGTGCACACCCGAAAAAAATTTAATTTCTGGATACGCCACTGGTTAACATTATATAATTTGCTATACATTAAATTAAACAGATATGTGTTAATTTGATAATGATAATGGGGTTCGTGGTGCGAACAAATTTTAAATTTTCTCGTTGACAGGTGAAATTATACGTAAATGGGTAGTAAACGACCGTAAACGGGTCACTGAACTCGCTTTTGTTTGCATTTATCCGATCTAGCTCGGACGCGTACGAGTGGTTTTATTGATATCGTACAGTTAACTGTAATCACTCGACAAATTGGTAATCGCTATGTAAACTTCCATGTGCATAGTACATTATATATATATTCCCACACACCTCCTTGTGGTTGGCAAATTTTGTTGTCGACCGTCCTTTTGTCCTCCCCGGGTATAATGTACCTACCGCACTGCGGGTTGAATATAATAACATACGAGAACACGGTATATCGTGCATATAATACATTTAAAACAGATAAAAAGTTGTTGCACTCATCACCTAAAACCAGAAAAAAACACACTTCGCATGACACGCGTGTTGTGTTTGTGTATTTGCAGCTGCGTGTCATCCGGGCTTTCAAGTCCACGCTAGAAGACCTGGAAGAACGGCGTTCCATACATAGTTTGCGCACCACCACTACCAGCTCACGGGGCCGTCCTCTATCCGACAACATCACGTACATAGATGAGGAACACCACCACAACCACAACTACCAAGCTGTCCCTCCTTCTAACAACAAGACACCACTCAGTGAGGGATAAAACAAAATGAAAATAATATATAATACATCCGATAACACTATTAAATATTCCTAATCGTGTGTGTGCGTCACGTTAAAAAAAAAAAGAATCAATCAATCAAAACAAACAATTTCGCATAATATAATTTATTATAATAATTAATATATTATAATTGTCATCTTGAATTTTTTTCTATAACTTATATATTTTTATTTTAATACACTCATCTTTTTTTTTTACATTTTTTTTTTTTTTTGTATGAAATTATACGTACGTACAAATTATATGAATAATTCGAGCTTGGGTATATTTTGTTTTCGTTTTTATTTTGATAGAAATAAAAACAAAAAAAAAAACGGGCGGTCTTCATTTCTTCTCTATCTGTCACTCTTTTATAAGTGCGCGCGATTTCCTATCTGCAGCTGCTGCTCTTAAATTGGGTTTACATGGTCGCATATTATGCAATGCATATTATACCGATAAGGCTTGTGTTTATCATGCGCGCCCGGAATTGCTTGAATCATGGATTTTATAATTGTAGAAGGGCAACGCGAATACATTAACCGAAACATTTTTATAATTTATTTGTATGTCTTATCAATTGTTAAGTCTCGTTGGATTGGATGCTTGCTATTTGGTACGTGCTGTTGTTAAATCACAGTGTTTGTTACTAAAAGTCACTGCTGATGATCGCCTCTTGGTATGATTTAAATACATATGTTGGTTATTATTATTATATTTTATAAAGTTACTCCTAAATACTATACTGTACTTTCTGCTGAACTATGCCTGTCTAGCAATAGATAAATTAATTATTGATTTAAAATTATTCTTTGTACAAACTATAATGTCGTGCTACATTAACTAATGAAACAATGGTATTGGGTTTTACAACTAACTAACGCATCACATCAATAATATGTGAGTAGGCTGCGAAGGCAAGATATTATATCATATTTATTCCTTATTACTTCTGTTATTCATATTTATATTATTCATATTCATATTCATATTCATATTCATATTCATATTCATATTCATATTATTATTATTATTATTATTATTATTATTATTATTATTATTATTA